TATATTTTGTTAGATTTATACCTAAGCATTTCCTCATTGTTGGTTCAATTGCAGAGTATTGTTTTGTTTTTCTGAATTTCAAATTCCAATTGCTCACTGCTGGTATATAAAAAAGCAATTGACTTTTGTATATTAATCTTGCACCCAGGGACCACACTATACTCGCTTATTAGTTCCAGGAGTTTTGTTGATTCTTTGTGATTTTCTACATACACAACTACGTCATCTGAGAACAAAGACAATTTTATTTCTTCCTTCCCAATCTGTACATCTTTTATTTCCTTTTCTTGTTTTATTGAATAGCTACGACTCCTGTACAACGGTGTATAGTAGTAATGATAGTGGATATTCTTGTCTTGTTCCCCATCTTAAGGAGAAAACATCTAGTTCTCATCAAGTATGATGTTAACGGTGGGTTTTTTGTACCTGCTTTTTATCGAGTTGAGAAAGTTTCCTTCTACTACTAGTTTGCTGAGAGATTTCATAAATAAGCGTTAGATTTTGTCAACTTTTTTACATAAAGAGATATGATCACTTTTCTAACTTTTTCAAGTGGAAGATAACATTAATAGATTTTCAAATATTGAACCAGCCTTGCACACCTGCAATAAATCCCCTTTGTTTGTAGTGTACAATCCTTTTTATACACTGTTGAATTAAATTTGGTAATATTTTGGTGAGGATTTTTGTATCTGTTTGAGAAGTCATAGTCTTTAGTTTTTCTTTCCTGTAATGTCTTTATATTGTTTGATGTTAGGATAATGTTGGCCTCATGGAATTTGTTAGGAAGTGGTCCCTCTGCTTTTATTTTCTAGAAAAGATTATGAAGAGCTGGTATCATTTCTTTCTTAAATTTAGTAAAATTTACCAGTGAAACGATCTGGCCCTGGTGCTTTATTTACTGGACAGTTATTTATTATTGATTCAATTTCTATAATAGACAAAAGCCTATTCAGACGAAGAATTTTTCTTTGGTTGAGTGTCGGTAGTTTACGTCCTTTTATTCTCAGCCTGGCTAGAGGTTTATCAAGTTGTGGTAAATTCATACAATAAAATATTATTCAGAAATTTAAAAAAAAAAAAAAAAAGCATTACCAAGCTATGGAAAAGCATAGATGAAACTTAACTGTATATTGCTAAGTGCAAGACGCTAGTATAAAAAGGCAAATATATGAAATTCTGACAAATGTAAGACATAGAGACAATAAAATGACCAGAGGTTACCAGAAATTTAGTGTAAGATGTTGAACAGATGAAACATAGATGATTTTTTTTTAGGGTGGTACAACTATTCTCAATAACACTTGTGATGGTTAAAGTTGTGTGTCAACTTGGCTGGGTCATGATTCTTAGTGGTTTGGCAGTTGTGATGTGTATTGGCAGCTATGTAATGATGTAATCACCCCCATGATAAGATCTGTTATGAGCAGCCAATCAGCTGAAAGGGAGTTTCCTTGGGGGTGTGGCCTTCATCCAATATAGGTAGACTTTCTGGCAAAACTCGCTGGCTTTTGTTCACTCTGGATCCTGCAGCTGGTTCCTGTTTATCTGACCTCCAATTCTTGGGACTGCAGCTAGCGCTTACCTGTCATCTTACCTGCCAATCTTGGGATTCATCAGCCTCTGCAGCCTGTGAGCCAGAGACTTGCTGTCTGACCTGCCAATTTTGGGTTCACCAGCCCCTGCATCTACGTGAGTTAAGAGAAGCCTTCAGCCTGACCCACAGACTTGGGACTTTCCAGCCTCTACAACTGCATGAGCCAGTTTCTTGATATAAATATATACATATTTATTTATTTATTTATACACTTCACTGGTGTTGCTTCTTTAGAGAACCCAGCCTAAGACAATACTGTAATTTTGAATACATAACACTATGCATTTGTCAAAACTCTAAAACTTTACAACACCAAGCATGCACTTTAAGGCATAGAAATTTAAAAAAAAAATTTTTTTTCAGAGACTATGGGAATCCCAGGATGGAATGTAAACTGTGACAAAACAATTTAACTGTATTTATTACACATGTATAAAACAACTTCACTGAAGGGGGCGGAGAAAAAAGTGCCAACTGACCTAAGTAACAGTGGAAATTAGCAGAGTCTATAAAATGAAAACCAAAAGAAATTGTTCATTATGTGCAACCAAACACCTCATGGGACTTAGTTTCTTGGTTTGGAGGTTTAGGCTCATGGTTTCATGGGACATCCCAGTTAATTGGCCTAATATCATTTTTAGTGCTTCTGTTCTACCTCCTACTTAAGTGTGTAGTGCCTGGAGTCTTAAAAACTTGCAAGTGACCATCTAAGGTACACAACTGATTTTTCTACTTGCCTGGAACATCAGAGGAAGAAGGAGAGTCAGGAATAGAAAGAGGAAATGGAATGCATGGCTGATTGCGTCCATGAACAACTGCTTCCTTTGCCATGAGACCAGGACAGATGGTGCCCCAGCTACCATTACTGAACAATTTGATCAAAGATTCTACAGAAAAATCCTGATCAAAAGGAGGGGAGTGTGGAAGAGAATTTCAAATTCTCATGGAATCCAGACTTTCTGGAGGCATGGAAGCTAGATGAGCCCCAGAAACTACCGACCTGAGATAATCTTTAAACGTCAAACCAAAATTATCCCCTGAAGTTTTCTCTAAACCAAACAATAGTTTAGCTTAATTAGTAAAGAATCCCTGCCTTGAGCACTGTGTTCAATTAAAGATCTACATGGGATCAAACTGACAACAGCAACTCGAAAAATTAGATAGGAAACTTAGGGGGTAGTGAGTTTACGTTAATGGGGGAGGAACAATTCAGAAAAAGACAGTGAGAATGGCTGCACAACTTGAAGAATGTAATCAGTGTCACTGAATTGGACATGTAGAATTGTTGAACTAGTTTATGTTCTGCTGTGTATATTCTCAATGACAACAAAAAAAAAAATAAAAAAATTTCAAGTAATGGATGGTGGATGGTAAGAGCCAAGTTCCTCACTACTAAGAGAGAGTTTACAGCTAAGCAAGAGGAGGAGGCAAGAATGATCCTTGTGGTAGTAGATTTGAGTTGGGAGTCTCTCAGGTGAGTCTTTTCTGGTCTGGCCAGCCCCTACTTGAAATATAAATTCTCAGGTGTGGCCTAGAAGTCCCAGGCAAGGCACTCTAATTCCTCCAAGAGATATTTCTCCAAAGTCAAAAACAAAGGTCACCTTAGTTGGGGTAAAACCAGGTCCTTTACCCCACACAGAACAATTCCTCAAAATCTACAAACTACCAAAATAACCTGAATAGTCCTATAGTAATTAAAGAATGTATTTTGTAATTAAAAAGCTCTCATATAAGAAATCTCCAGGCCCATATGGTTTTATTGGACATATATACCAAACATTCAAAGAATTAACATCAATTTTATACAATCCTTCCAAGAAATTGGAAAAGGAAACATTTCCCAACTCATTTTATCAGGCCATGTGATTTCTAACACTAAGTATAAACCAAAAAAAAAAAAAAACCCCAAACCCACTGCTGGTGAGTCAATATCAACTCACAGCAACCCTACAGGACAGAGTAGAACTGCCTCAAAGGGTTTCCAATGCTGTAAATCTTTACCGAAGCAGACTGCCACATCTTTCTCCCATGGAGTGGCTGGTGGGTTCAAACCTCTGACCTTTTGGTTAGCAACCAAGCGCTTAACCACTGCGCTACCAGGCTCCTCAGGTACTTAGCATAGGAGAGATAAAACATTAGATCTATTTTATCAAGTTACCAATTCTAATTAAACACATTCATTTTTAAAATGAAGAAAAAAAATAGGATTTAAAAACAACAAACCAGCTGGTAGAGTTATAAACTGAAATGATTACTCTGGAAAACAATTTGGCATTATCTAATAAAGATGAAATTGCATTTAAGCTATCATAGAGATAATGTTGCTCTGAACAGCAAAAAACTATTAACTGACCGGAAATTGAATAAATAAACTGTGATATAGTCAGATAACAGAATATTTATTCCTTTATTCCAAGAGATAAATTTTGAAAAATATTTGTCACACCAATTTCAGATGAATAGTTACAAATATTCAATTTAAAGATCTCTTACAAACTGACCCCAAAATACCATAAACGGGCAAACAGTATGAAGACATTGCAGATAAAAGCAAATTCAAGATTCTGGGAAGATAGCAGTGTAAACAGACCATTGCTCCAATCCTCCTCCACAAATAAAACAAGAAATACAATAAGGAAAGGGTGCTTGGCTTCGAGGATATGAATCAGAGAGCAGAGGAAAGCACTGGGGAACTATAAACAGGCAAGAATCAACGAATCGACAATGAGTTGCATATAAATTACAAACACTCATCTAGAGGGAAGTATGTATGAAATATAAATTTCAAAGTTTAAAAAAAAAGCAGATTCAAGTATTCAGTAAGCTTATAAAAAAGGTGTTCAAACTCAGTGACACTGAAGTAACAATGAGGATAGATTACTTAATACCTATCAGACTGGCAAAAATGAAGAATAGTAAATAGTCTATCAGGTTAAAAAGTACACCCAAACACTGCTGGTGAGACAGAAAATAATAGCCTCTTCTAAAAATGTACACACATGTGTGGGCACTTATATATGTTTTCATTTATAAGTACCAGTGGAGGTATAGGAGAATTCAAAGGTTACCTCACAGGATGATGGGAGTAATAAGTAGCTTTCTGTTTTAAATCTTTGACTCTGTTGCCTCAGATGGAGTACTTTTGAAATTTGAAAAAATGCAAATGAAGAAATCTTTAAAAAGTAGCAGCACATATAACTGAGGAAAGTAAATGGAGCAATAGAAGAGAGAAAAGAGCACTGACCATGGACTTGAAAGGGAATCAAAATCCACTTCAACCGTTTCATAATTCTGCCTAAGCTGACCCTGACCTTATCATTCAAACCAACATATATGCCATCTTTTGCATTTCTAATCTTTTAAAGCTATCTAGGCAAATAACATCCACGGGAATGCTACCAACCTGATTTGCTGACATCTTCATTTGGTTCTACAACAAGCTGCAAACAGCCTTCTTTCTTTCTTGAAGAAGGTGGAAGTGCCTTTGGATGGGATTTCTGGCGGTGAAGACAGGAAAAATACGACGTCAGATCTACTTTATTAAAATTACTGATTCTGACTAAACACATTTGTTTTTAAAATAGGGGGGAAAAGGATTTAAACACAACAACCCAGCTGGTAGAGCTGTAAACTGAAATGACTACTTTGGAAAACAATTTGGCACTATTTAGTAAAGTTGAAATGGCATATAACAACAGAAACAACGCAGCTCTGAACAGCAAAAAACTACTCACTGACAGGAGACTGCATAAATAAACTGCAATACAGTCAAATAACAGAATATCACATATACAACAGTGAAAACAAATAAACCACAACAACATGCATAAATGATTATGTTGACAAAAAAAAAAACACAGAAGTTGCCAAAGTATAGAACAATCTCATTTATGTAAAGTATATAACAGATGTGAAGATACGTAAAACAGTATAGTTATTCAGGTATTCACCCTATGCAGAAAAGAATTAACACAGCAGGCCTGATCATTCAAAGGGCATGCCTGCAGCGCTAGCCTGGTCAGCATCTGGTGCTTGGCTTTCAGAATATGCCCTCTTTAGCAGTCAACAAGGTTACATCTGCTGTGTCAGCCTGTCTAGACTGTTTGTATAAACAATGTGATTTAGTGAATATCTCCTTTCCTTCTGGGAGTCTGGAATTTTGGTGGGCAGAGGATGCCTAACTGACCAGCCTTCAATAAAAACGGCTGAGTCTCAAACAAGTTTCCCTTGGCAGAAACAACGTGCTCACATTACTGAATTTCACTGCTGGATGCAAGGAGTGCACTGTGTGGCCCCTTTGGGGAAGACTATACAAAGCCTGTAGGTGGATTTCTCCAGACTTTGCCTGATGTGTCTTTTTCCATTACCAATCTGGCTGTGTATCCTCATTATGTGGCTATAATAAATCTCAGCCATGAGTCAACTATATGCTGAGTTGCATGAACTCTTCTACTGAAGCACCAAGCATACGATGGTAGTGGTATCTCTGACATCAGTGGTGTCAGAAGTGCAGACTAATTTCAACACCATATGTGATACAACTATTAAGGATGAGAATGATGAACATGAAATTCAAGATAGTGGTTACCTCTACACAGGGGGAAGAAGGAGAAAGACATGACCAGAAAGGGGCACATAGATACCTATATTGCACATTGATGCACAGATAAAAGAGGCTTCAAAGGTATTGTTTTTCACGCTGAGCAATGGGAACATGGGTGTTCATTTATATTATTTTTAATACCTTACATGAACTATATATGTTCTTTTGTAAGTGTAAAATACTTCAAGGCATAAATTTTTAAAATCTAGAAAAGGGAAATCTCATTTAGATACTGAAAGTGGGAAAGAAAATTGGCAAACCATTTTGTAGAAAAATTTGACAATATTTAATAATTTCATTTCAAATGTGCACATCCTAGAAAAATTCAGTTTAAAACATGTGCACAAGCAAACATAAACAAGGATACTTGCTGCATCACTGTTTATGATAACTAATAGATGTAAACAACCTAAAAATGTACTGAGAAATAAATAATGAAGCTACAATTAATATAAATAATGCCAGCGTATAAACTATGGAATTAAATTCCATAAAGAAACAAAGGCAAGATTTCATTTAATCACTGTCTCTCTTGAAACCTCATTAAGATTAAGAGATTTTAAAAATGTGTAAGCCCAAAGGATATGAACAGACACTTCACCAAAGAGAACATTCATTCAGGTGGCTAACATGGAAAGATGATCACGATCATTACCCAGCCATCAGAGAGATGGAAATCAAGACTACCATGAGATTCCATCTCATCCCTGCAAAAATGGCACTGATCAAAAACACAGAAAACAACAAATGCTGGCGAGGTCATTGGGGGAATGGAACTCTTATACACTGCTGGTGGGATTGTAAAATGGTACAAACGCTATGGAAAACAGTATGGTGCTTCCTCAAAAAGCTAGAAATAGAAATATCTTATAATTCAGCAATCTTACTCCTAGGTATATATCCTAGAGCTATAAGAACAAGGACATGAATAGACATGAGCACACCTATGTTCACTGCAGCATGATTCACAATAGCAAAAACATGGAAACAACCTAAGTGTCCATCAACAAATAAACAAATTGTACATATGTACAATAGAATACTATACAATTATAAAGAATAACGATGAGTCCAAGAAACATCTTGTAACAGATAAATCTGAAACATTATGCTGAGTAAAATAATTCACTCACAAAAGGACAAATATTGTTACGGTCTCACTTTTCTAAAAAGTCAAGGTATACACACAGAAAGCAACGTTCTTTGATGGTTACCAGGGATGGGAGTGGGGAGGAGAAATCACTTTCTAGATAGCAGACACTTGTCATCTTTGGTGATATGAAAGGCAATACCCAATATGGGTGAAGTCTGCACAACCTGTCCAAGGTAAATGAACACACTAAGAAGTACACAAGAATAAGGGACAATTTTGGTATATGCTATAACATGTAATTTTACAACAATAATAACCAAAAAATGTGTGTGGTTACATAGGTAGATACACATGTATATACATGTATAGGAAGGCACATGTGAGTATATGGGTGTGAGTGTATAGGTGTATCTATAGCCTATATATATACATGTTTATGAGTACTGCATATATATTCACATATATAATAAACAACATAGACAGTATAGTTACAGATACTTCCCAGACATAACCAAACACCTTGTGGGATTGGTTTACTGGGTTTGAAGGCTTGGGACCATAGTCTCATGGGGACAACACGGTCACTCAATCAGCATAACACAGATCATAAAGATAATGTTTTACATTCTAGTTGGTGAGTATCACCTGGGGTTTTAAAAGCTTGCAAGTGGCCAACTAAGACACAACTATTATACTCGTCTAGAACAAAAGAGAATGAAGGAAACCAAAGACTCAGAGAACAGACTAGTCCATAGGACTAATAGCCAACATGAACCACCGCCTCATCTAGCCTGAGACCGGAAGAACTAGATGGTGCCTGCTACCACTACCAACCATTCTGATCAGGGAACAACAGAAGGACCCAGAGAGAAAGGGAGAAAAATGTGTAAAACAAAACTCAAATTCCGTTAGAGGCCAGACTTACTGGACCAACAAGACTAGAGGAACCCCTGAAACTATCGCCCTAAGATACCCTTTGATTTGGAATTGAAGCCACTTCTGGTGGTCACCTTTTATCTAAATATTAGATTGGCTGATAAACAATTACCACCTGTGAGTAACGTGCTCCCTTAAACAATCAACTATATGAGGCCCAACTGTCAACATTTACCCTAAAACAAAGATTTAAGAAGCTAAGGAGGGGCAGGGAAGCTAGATTAACATGAACAGAACAAAATGGGAACAGAAATAATGTGAATGTTGATACATTGTGAAACACAACAAATGTCATGGAACAATTTGTATAAAAACATTAAATGGAAACCTAAATTGTTATGTAAACTTTCACCTAAAACACAATAAAATATTAAAAGGAAAAAAAAAGTATAAGCTAAGAAGGAGAAGGAAAAATGGAAGTAGAAGAAAGATAGCAACAAGCTTCTTCAACTTGGAAAGCAGATTAGCAGCAACTAACTTCTCAGACCAAAGAAAGATGAAATAGCCTAGCAGAGAGAAAGTCTAAAAGCAGACAGGTTTAAACTGCCACAATCTATAAAGGCTCAGTAATTAGAGGTACAAGGTACCACTAAAGAAGGAGTACAGGTGGAGTTTGCCAACAGAAGGGTTATGAAAAGTGTGTAAGAAGCAGTAAGACCTACAGAGTCCCTCACCTTCCAACCTTTGCCAAGGAATCAAAGAGTTCGGAAGTCATCATTCCCATCCTCACATCAAAAAAAAAAAAAAAAAAAAACAGCTAAACAAACTGAAAACCAACAACTCTTCTTAAAACCATCATTTAATTAAAGTCATAAGGAAAACAACCTCTCTGGAAACTGAAGACACAGACAAATACAGAGAATCACAGCTTACTAGGAACATAAGCCCCAAGAATCAGTAACTGGTAGCAACATTTAAACAGAAACTGAAAAATTGCTGGAGGGTGAAAGTACACTAGCGTCAGAGCTAAAAATTACAAAAAGTGCAACATATATGCGTATTTGAAATACAAGTACAAAGAGAGAAAGGAACAGAAATATATTTGAAATAAAGACAGAATTTTCCAAATTAATGATAAACACCAAACCATAGATAAAGAATCATAAGGAACACAAAATATGATAAATACCCCCAAGAATCTACACCTATGCATAGTCAAACTGCAGAAAACCAAAGACAAAGAGAAAAACTTGAAATGAGTCAGAAAAGGAAAAAAACATCTAACCTATAGAGGAACAAGGATAATAAACACAGCAAAATTTTCTCCAGAAACCACACAAGCAAGAAAACAGTGGAGTAAAGTGTTGAAAGAAAATAAACACCAACCTAGAATTCCAGTGAAATTATCCCTCTAAATTGAAGGAGACAGATTGGAAAAGAAGCAAAATTATTTCTATTTATGGATGACATGATCCTATACATAGAGAACCTGAAAGTCCACAAGAAAACTTCAAGTTAATAGGAGTTTAACAAAGCTACAAGGTATACAACATAAACGAACAAAAATTAGTTGGGTTTTTATACATCAGCAATGAGAAATCTGAAATAGAAATTAGAGAAACAATTTCATTTACAACAGCATCTAGGAGAATAAAATATCTAGAAATAAATTTAACCAGGGACATGAAGGACTTATACAATGAAGATTATTAAAAAAAACTGCTGAGAGATTAGAGAAGACTTAAATAAATGGAAAGATGTTCCATCTTCATGGATTGGAGACTTAATATTGTTAAGATGTCAATACTACCCGAAGCGATACATAAATTCAATGCAATGTCGACAAAATTTCAAAGCTTTCTTTACAGAAATGGAAAAACGAATCCTCAACTTAATATGCCCTGAATAGCTAAAGCAATGTTGAAAGAAAA